TTGTATTCTCTGTTTGGCTTAGTTTTTCAGACCTTTGCTGTGGAGGGACGGCGTGGTGCTTCTGCCTAGAGCACTATTTTGCTGGAACTCCTTAAATGTTATCTTGATACTGTTGGCCACAAATAACTAACACAAAAAACTTCATCAGAACTTAAAAACAGTGTAACCAAACCAAACCAAACCCACCGCCGTCGAGTCAATTCCTACTCAAAGCAACCCCACAGGACAGAGTAGAACTGCCCAATAGGGTTTCCAAAGCTGTAAATCTTTATGGAAGCAGACTGTCACATCCTTCTCCCTCACAGAGGCTGGTGGGTTTGAACTGCTGATCTTTTAGCAGCCAAGCACTTTAACCACTGTGCCACCAGGGCTCCTTAAAAACAGTATACTTACCCTCAAATCAGGAGAAAAGTTGTCTGCAGAAGTTGAAATGGAATCCGATGATATGACAGAAGCTGATTTTGTATGCACTGAATTCTCCGAATGAGAAGTGGAGGCACTATAAAATATAAAAGCAGAGTATGTTTGAAAAATGAGGGCTTTAAAGACAAATTTCAGAAATTTTGTTTATTAGAAATCCATTATTTATTAAAACTCCCATTTGTCAGCTAGTCGTACTTTGCCTATCCAATCTTAGTTCTAAATATTGATAAACTGCAAATTCTCTATTCCTTCAGCGTTTAGTATTCTTACCATCCATGTTCCCTCCTGACACTCTTCTCAAGTACTCATGAACATATTCTAGGCTAACTGCTTCCTTTTATCTGTCCATACATACATTCATCCATCCACTCATGCATTCAATGAACATTCACTGAATGGTCCAATGTGTAAAACACCGCATCAGGCATTGTGACTTCGAGATAAACGTTACACAGTCCCAATGTTCACGAAGATCACAAGTGTGTGGCAAAGACAGGCAAGTAAATAAATGGTGCAATGTGATAATGATACTAAAAGAAAGAATATATAAGATGCCATAGGAAAGAAGAAAAGGAAGTGCCTAACTCCGCCCAGGAAGGTCAGGGAAGACTTCAACAGAGGAGGTTATGCTCCAACTGAGTCTTGAAAGATAAGCAGGAATTTCCAGGTCAAAAAAGCAAGCGAATGAATTTAAAAACAAAATACTGCAGAAGCATGGAAGTACAAAAAAGCATGGAACATTTGAAAAACTACAAAAAATTCAATAAGGCTGTATGAGCAGAAAACCGGCAGATAAGCATCAAAAGATGGGCCTGTCTTTGTACCTTGTTCCTTTCCACTAAATCAAATTGTACACTTCTAAAAATTCTACACTTAAATATCCACTTCTTCCATTACACTATCTAAGTTATCACAATTACTTTTAAGTAATTGTAAAAGTAATTGCAGTTACCGTTTATTTTCTTAAATTCCTACAGAGCATTGGGTACCTGATCACGTACTACCTTTTACTGTTTACTGGTATCAAACATGTTATGTCTTGTCTCATCAACTAAATTTTAAGTGTCCCATGAGCAAGGATTATCTCTTGTACTTCCTTTGTTCCACAAAGTCTACTTCAGTGTCTGTGTATAATGTTAACATGTAGCATGTCTGTTAGATTAAAAAACATAGCGATATTATACCTATGCCACAAACTGAATGATTTACATCATTTCCTTTTATCAGTTAAAAAAAAATTAGTTACAGGAAGAAAAAGCAATAGAGGAAAATCCTTAGACACTTTGTATTGAGGCTTAAAGTTCTGATTAAAAAATACATCCTTCTAAAGTCCCAATGTTAACATATTAAAATGTCTTCCTTATATCAATAATTAAATTTTTTCACTAAATTTTGATGACATAATCCATCTTGGGGTTGTGATAATATTTAAGAACTATGTTTTAGTTTTAAAATAAACACACTGAACAAATGGAAGAAGCACAGCCAAAATGCTCCTTAGAAGCAAGAATAGTGAGACTTTGTCTCGATTACTTTGCACATGTTATCAGGAGGGACCAGTCCCTGGAGAAGGACATCATGCTTGGTAAAGTACAGGGTCAGCAAAAAAGAGGAAGACCCTCAATGAGATGCACCGACACAGTGACTGCAACAATAGGCTCAAACATAGGAATGACTGTGAGGATGGCCTAGGACCGGGCAGTGTTTCGTTCTCTAGTGCACAGGGTTGTTACAAGTAGGAACCGACTCAACAGCACCTAATAACAACAAAACAATGGTTTTTGTTGTTAGGTGACATCAAGTCAGTTCGAACTCATAGCAATCCTACACACAATTGAGTTCAGCTTCAATTTCTGGCAGTTCCCTGTCAGCGTACTGCGGCAACCACTCTTGAATAATCTTCAGCAAAATTTTACTTGCATGTGATGTTAATGATATTGCTTGATGATTTTCACATTCTGTTAGATCACCTTTCTTTGGAATGGGCACAAATATGGATCTCTTCCAGTCGGTTGGCCAGGTAGCTGTCTTCCAAATTTCTTGGCATAAACCAGTGAGCACTTCCAGTGCTGCATCCATTTGTTGATACATCTCAATTGGTATTCTGTCAATTCCTGGAATCTTGATTTTTGCCAATGCCAACAGTGCAGCTTGAACTTCTTCCTTAAATACCATCGGTTCTTGATTATATGCTACCTCTTGTAATGGATAAACATAGACCAATTCTTCTTCGCACAGTGACTCTTGAGTATTCCTTCCATCTTCTTTTGATGCTTCCTGGGTCGTTCAATATTTTGCCCATAGAACCCTTCAAAATTGCAACTTGGGGCTTGAATTTTTCTTCAGTTCTTTCAGCTTGATAAATTCCAAGTGTGTTCTTCCCTTTTGGTCTTTGTACATTTCATTATAACACTTTACTTTGTCTTCTCAAACCACCCTTTGAAATCTTCTGTTCAGCTCTTTGACTTCATCATTTCTTCTGTTTGTTCAACATTCAAGAGCAAGTTTCAAAGTCTCTTCTGACATCCATTTTGGTCATTTCTTTCCTTCCTGTCTTTTTAATAACCTTTTGCTTTCTTCATGTATGATGTCCTTGATGTCATCCCACAACTTGTCTGGTCTTCAGTCGTTAGTGTTCAATGTGTCAAATCTACTCTTCAGATAGGATATACTCATGATTGTATTTTGGTTCCCGTGGACTTGTTTTAATTTTCTCCAGCTTCAACTTGAACTTGCATACAAGGAATTGATAGTCTGTCCCACAGTTGTCCCCTGGCCTTGTTTGGACTGATGATATTGAGCTTCTCCATTTTCTCTTTCCACAGATGTAGTCAATATGATTCCTGTGTTTTCCATCCAGTGAGGTCCATGTGTATAATTACCATTTATGTTGTAGAAAACAGGTATTTTCAGTGAATAAGTCGTTGGTTTTGCAAAATTCTATCATGTGATCTCTGGCATCATTTCTATTACCAAGGCCGTATTTTCCAACTAATGATCCTTCTTCTTTGTTTTCAAGTTTCTCATTCTAGTCACCAGTAATTATCAATGCATTCTGACTGCATGTTTGATCAATTTCAGACTGCAGAAGTTGGTAAAAATCTTCAATTTCTTCATCTTTGGCATTAGTGGTTGGTGCATAAATTTGAATAATAGTTGTATTAACTGGTCTTCCTTGCAGGCATCTGGATGTTGTCCTATCACTGACAGCGCTGTACTTCAGGCTAGATCTTGAAATGTTCTTTTTGACGGTGAATCCAAGACCATTCCTCTTCGTCATTTCCTGCATAGTAGACCATACGACTGTCTGATTCAAAATGGCCAATACCAGTCCATTTCAGGTCACTAATGCCTAGAATACTGATCTTCATGTGTTCCATTTCATTTCTGACAACTTCCAATTTTCCTAGATTCATACTTCGTACATTCCACGTTCCGATTATTAATAGATGTTTGCAGCTGTTTATTCTCATTTTGAATCATGCCACATCAGTAAATGAAGGTCCTGAAAGATTTATTCCATCCATGTCATTAAGGTCAGCTCTACTTTGAGAAGGTGGCTCTTCCCCAGTCGTATTGTGACTTCCAACCTGAAAGGCTCAGCTTCCAGCACTATATCGGACAATACTCTGCTGCTATTCATAAGGTTTTCACTGGCCAACTTTTTCAGAAGTAGACTGCCAGGTCCTTCTTCCTAGCTTGTCTTAGTCTTGAAGCGCCACTGAAACCTGTCCACCAAGGGTGACCCTGCTGGTATTTGAAATACTGGTGGCACAGCGTCCAGCATCACAGCAACATGCAAGCCAATACAGTACAACAAACTGACAGACTCATGGTACAGACAACTAAATTATTTAAATAATGCTAAAATCACTTCTCTCAAAAAGAAATTGTAATTTCAATTAAATGGATGAAAAACAGTACTCCAGTGGAAATACTTCATTTTTTCTAAATGTAAACATCTCATTATTTTATTTACTGTTTCAAAGTATGATTGTACTTATTTGTTTATATCCAGAAATCTATATTATTATACAAAGAGCAGTCATAAGAAATTATAATATCTAGTTTTACAAAGTAAAGAGATGAAAACTGTTAGACTGAGAATAGTTTCTTTCTTCTTCTGTTTCTTTTTCGGTAGACAGCTTCTGATTAATTAAATGCCATCCGTGTTAAAATAACAGGTAAAATAGTCAAACTCTAGACACAGTACTGTGACAGATATTGTTAGCTAGCTACTCCATGTAAACTCCCCTTTCTTCCCTGACTTTGCTCAGGTCAGGGCAGTTTTCGCCAAGCCCAAGATGACACACTTGCTTTCAGCTCCCTTGTGGTAAAGAAAGCCATGTGACAGAATTCTGGTCAATGAGATTTAAGGGGAAGTCAGCTAATGGTTATAGAACCTTTTATTTTCTTAATAAAGGAGAAAAGAAATGGCAGGGCAGCCCTTCACCTTTCCCAGTTCCACTTGCCTGAAACATCAAAGTAAAGTCTGAAAATGCAGCAGTCATCTTGTAAACATGAGCAACATGCCAGCCTGCCAAGGATAAGAAGCCAAAAACAAACAAATAAAAACCAGAAAAAACACAGGTCCCTAAAGCACTACTGAGCAGCTGTATCCCTGTCAGCGACTCCCTACCTCTAGAATTCTTGTTATACAGAATAAATGAACTCCGATTTTTCAGATCACTGTAATAGGGTTTTCTATTCTGTACTATGAAACATAACTTTAACTGATCTAGCAATTAACACCTCATAAAGTCTATCCTGGGTAAGTCCAAATGTGTAACACTACTCTATAGGCATATGTATGACCTTTGGGAGAAAAAGAAAAAAAAAAAAAAACTCTTAAAGGCAATTAAGCACTGCTTGAAATTATGAGTAGTATATTCTCTAGAAAAAGAATATTAACAGAGAGAAAATGTATCATTTATCACTAAGAAACCAAATGGCCTTTTAGAGCCAAAGTATGAAGTAAATAAATCTAAGAGAAATAAAATAACAAAACTAGGTTCTGCAACTAATACTTCGTAGTCACAGATTTTAAAAATTACTTTCATGCAAAAGTATGGCAAA